TGTAGTGCGGTAGGAGATTGTCAGCTACAAGATGTGGCGCTCCAACATGGAAACGGTTGCTGCAGGTACGGCCCTACCAGCGTGGCGGATGCTTCCTTCAAGGTCAAGAATACATTCCTCGAAATAGCTCCTGTAGAGGCAGCAAGCTGCACGTAGCACAAGGCAAAGGTTGGCTCTGGGACCTTTCCTTCGGTTTGCTTGTGTAGGAGGAAGCTGCTCTTCGGAAGAGGCCTTGAAGAGCTCAATGCAGAGGATTTTTTTACTTGAGCACTAGAAGACATTCCAGGCGAAGTCGAAGTGATGGCCATGACTTGAAGAAGTCGCCATTGGTGGTCCCCGGCACAGCATGCGGATCATTGCGCTGCAAAGCTGCAGCGTCACTGCGTGCGTTGACATGGTGTTTGCTAGGTGGCATCGAAATCGCCGATTGCATCTCCGCTGTCAGGGCCTTCTCTTGCTGAGCGCAGGGTTTCTCACAGGGGAGCACGCAGGGCGGCTGGCTGTGCAACGGAGAAGGTACCTTTCCGCGGTTGTGCCCGATGGTTTGGCTCAATAGAGTCAAGGCTTGCGTTTCTGTAAGGCTAAGCCCGTGGCCGAAGTCATGTGGGGTGTGTGGGGACATGCTTCCGCAGAGAGAGGACATTTCGCATGAGATGGTGTCGAGCCACGCAACGGATTTGCACTGAAAGGAAACTGAACCGGTGTGTTCTCACAGCAACCCTGGTGGGAGTTACTGTGAACACCTGGCTGCGCCAAATTTCCCACAGCTTTTCTTGCGCTATGGATCCGAAAAGCCGTGACATACACAGTTTGCTGTGTAATGTGCTCTTGGATGCGGAGGGCAATGGACTCAACGACATCCTAGGGCAAGAGTTTGTGAGAAGCCTTTTGTCCGATGAGGAGCCTCCAGCTGAAGGAGAGGATAGGGAACGAGCAAGGCAACACCAGACTTGGGGACCGGTGCTTGATCGACCCTACACGACATGTTTATCCCAAGCCTTGGAACACTGCGTTCGTGAAGGCTGTTTCCGGAGGCCTCCTTTTCCTCAGAATGCCGAGCTCTCCAGCCTCCTTGTGGAAGATGCTGAAGAAATTGAGCTGTGGCAGCAGTCAGTAAGATGCTGGAGTGGGAGTGAGCAGAGCCTTGTCTCTGCGTTGTCATGCTTGGGGCGATTTGGAATCCGGCTTGCTCTGGGGCAGCGTCGGACACATGGCAGCTGCGATGCCCTCCCACCCTCTCGCCAAGAGCTGGTGCGAGCCTTCAGTGCTCCACACAACGATGGTGGCGACACCTCCCAGAGCCACTTGGCACAGGAACACACTGCGCACCACGCTGCGCACTGCTGTTTTCACCTCTCTTCTTGTGGTACCGAGGTGATTCTGATAGCGAGTTTCCAAATCTGACGCAGTTGGAGGGGGAGTCTGAGGCATTGAGGTCCCAGATCAAGGCGCTTGCGCAGCAGGGAAAGGACTCTGAGCTCGCTGAAGCCATCTCAAGGATGTGCGAAGCTTAGCTTCTCAATCATGTCCATCTGTCCCATCCATCTGCACTATCGCATGGCGCTAGCTGAGGAAACAGTTGACAAGGATGAAGCGTGACTGGGCGCATCACACATACAACCAGGGATTTCCCAGAAGCATAGCCAACGGTGATAGCGAGCATTTCATGTCGGTAGACGAGGAGAAACGCGAGAAGAGTAGAATGAAGGGAAACGATCGTGAGCCGACGGATGGAACGCAAACAGCGTGAACAAACCCCAATTCATGAACTAAAACGCATTCTGCATAAACTAAACGACCCCCGTTTTATACAACCAAGAATCCCCGGTTCCTAAAATTCCACCGCTTCCTAAAAGATACCCGCTTTATAAAACAAAAATTGCCGATTCATAAGCTAAAAATCCACCGATTCATACGTGAGAGGGCGGACAGCGATCTGAGTGAGTTTGAGGACCCTTAATCCTAAACCTAAATTCCCTTCGTTATCTAGGCGCCTAAATACTACAACCCTTACTACGGGCACCCCTCGCAAAGGGTATCTCATTTTTTGCGTAAAAAAAGCCCTAGGCCCTGTAAATCCCTGTATTTTTCACCCTAGACATGCTAAGTTAATAAGGTACTGTTTGCATGTGCTGTCTTGAAAACGTCGAGCTGTTTCCAGGAGCCCGCGGTAAAAGTCACGCACAGTTGTCTTGGCACACCTTCAGGCGAACTCCAGCTGCCCATGTCCACTCTGAGCGTTGGGGCTCGAGCGCTGAGCAAACATGCCCCTTGGCACGAGGAGCGTATGTTTTAATGCGGGTGTTCGGAGTTCGGAGCCTCTGAGGCACACCGCGGCCTTGAAGGATTTTGGGGGCCAATGGCCATTTCAGGAAGTGACGCAGCCAAGAACCAGGCTGCAGAGCAAGCCCTGCATGGACTTCTCACAGAAGCCGCCGCTAGCATAGATTCAGACAGAACGCTGCGTCAGGTCTCCATGGCTTCTTTTGCAATAAATCCGGGGCAACGGATGACGAACGGTCTTGTCTCAGGTCTGGGGAAACCTGCACCAACTTCCAGGGGGCCTTCCAACCTTCGAGGCTGCCAGTCTTCGCCAGAGGAGGATTTCATGCTAAATGTAGAAGAGGGTGTCACCAGAAATGAGTGCAGGGTGGCCATTCCAGCGTCAGTTGCCTCAGGTACGCGTCAAAGAAGGATATGGAGCTCGCTGGGTTGTTAGTCCAGACAGATCCATCCACTTTCGAGGCCATGCAAGAAAACACTCAGGGACTGCCAGCCTGAGTGTAGAGTAGATCTGAGAATGGAGTCAATTCCCTGAGGTCTCTTGGAGCCAATGATGGAGGATGGACATGAAAAGCGTTGGCGGCATGATCTGGTGACAAAGTGAAGGCTTCTGTCAGGACAAGTTCGCTTTCTGGATTTGGCTTTCGCCATTGTCTGGGAGCTTGTAGTCGCTTCGAGGCGAGTGTTGGGCAACTCATTTCCTTGGACAGGACCCCAACGCCCACGTGTAAATATGAAGGATCATGAAAGATCCGGAGATCCAGCCAAAGCATGGCTCAACAGCGACCGCAACGACTTGTCGCTTCAACATCTCGCAGATCATGGAGAACGTGCAGATGCAATCGGTCGTGTGGCAGGGCTCGTGAGGAGGGCGCACTTTGCGACAGTCGTGCTGTTGCATACCCCCTGCGCGCGGCAAAATCAATCCAATTCGAGTTGATGATGGTCCGACATGCGGCGCTGACTCCTTGCTGCCTTCCCAGGCTGCAGCCGGTTGACGAGACTCGCCAGGCAGTCCAGGGACTGTGCCGAACGTGGTTTGGCAAAAGCTAGCAGCTACCAAGAATCTTGATGCGCAGGCAATGCCCATAGACGATGTGGACTTTGAGATGCTAGAGGATGCTGCTGAGGCCAAGAGTTGGGGAGCAAGAATGCTTCTGCACCGGTATGGCACGGTATGGCATGGAGAGATGCGCGGGGATGTCAGGTAGAGGGGGACTCTCCCACTGTGGCCGCAACTCGGAAGAGGCCGATGACAGTTCACTGCTACGTTCGTGCCAGTGATTTTCCGGGAGGACGGCCTCCAACGGCGAGTCTGTAGCTCAGGTGGTGCCTGCCCTGGCGAGGGGACAGAAGATTTTATGGAGATTTGCTGCGTAGACCCTGAATGTATTGATGGAGGCAGCCAACATGGGCAATGAGCCAGCGTGACCAGTGATATTCTGCCAAACATCCTGACACAGCCTTGTGTTTCGTGATTTTCGTGATGTGGAGCAAGAAGAGGTAGGGATCTGCCTGCCGCAGGTACGTTGTGCCGACCACGCCATCACCGTTTTTGAGTTCCTCCTTTCCACCGCAGGTGCTGCTGCTCTGTAGTTGATCCTGATATCATCACAAGTGTCAAGTGGTGTGCATGCTGCAGGTACCCGACTTTGGGTATGGATATGGGATGGAAATGGGCCGCTCGAAAAGCAGACGTCATTGCTGCTTTGCAGGAGACCCTTGTTCCAATTTCTTCACCTTTGCCTGGTCACAAAGGCCTGCCTCCAGCCTATGATGGCGAGGCTGTGACTCTGAAGCTTGTGCGGTAGTCCCTTTTGTGTGGTCGAACGCCAAGCAATTGTCAAGCTCCAGTGTCATAAACCCGGAGGATCAGGTCGACTACAATGCCGGTGCCTCGGTCTTCGCACCTGAAACCATCCACGTCCAAGTGGAGAAGTGGATTCATCGCTGCTTCCTCTTGCATCTCCAGGAAGTGGCAGCCATGAATGCCGGATTCATGCAGGCCCCAGCAACAGGGCAGCAAAGCTGCGCACATGAAGAATTTGGAGCCGCAAAACTTTTGGACAGGGAATGCAGGGCTTCCTCACTCCAGAGATGTGCCCAGAGACCTTCATGCAAGGGATGTGCGCGACTCAGACACAACATTTGCTTCTCATCCGGGAGACCCCGTTTAGGTGCTTTTAGGTGCCATGGCTGCCATGATGCGCATATAGCTTGCGGTCTGGTTGCTGGAACTTGCACTTTTGTACCTCATGATGGGCTTTCAGACTGTCACTTCAAGCCTTTACGCTTCTAGAGGCCGCATGAGCTTGGCCAGTGAAGCAGCATGCAGCTTGTTTTGAAGTTTTTGTGCATGATGTGGTTTTGAGAGTTGTTGAGCCATGCTGTTGAAAGATGAGGCGGGGCAAGGTACGTATCTACTGATCAATTTACTTGCTTATCGCTTCACAAGATTTTGTGAGGTTCATGCCGTACTGGCAACAGATGGGCATGGATGGGCAGATGCCATGCATGGACGGGCGTCACTGCCACGATTGTCAGAGCTTGTTGCCAGATGTGCGTGAGCTTCCGGGGCAGTTTCGCTTTGAGACCCCACAAGTTGGGTGGACATGTCGGGCGGTTTGAGCTGGGTTGCGCAATGTCTCTAGCTCAAACCTTTGGGAAAAGTAGGGGACCTGGACAATAGTGTTGATGAGCACAGGTGAAAGAGCCTCAAGCTTCAAGGCATTGGTTCTAACACTACTAGTTTTGACAATCAGCGTTGGTTATCGCGAAAGTCAGATCAGACATCGTTTGGGGAAATGGAAGTGGATGCATGAGCTGAGGCACTTCCCATTGCCTGGCCTCTCCTCTTTGTAAGTTCAAGCCTGCAAAGCCGAGAAACATGTCTCATGTGTCCCTGCCGCCACAGAAGTTTGCAACTGCGGCTCTTTCTCAAGCCAGGCAAGCCATGATGACTCCGGAGCTGCAGGAACAGTTGCAGAAGGCTGCCCAGATGCAGGAGGAGTATCAGCAGGAGCTTTTAGATTGCTCCGTTGTCTGTTAGCTGAGACGACTCATCGCTTGGCCAGGAGCAGTTGGCCCAGGTGGAGCCTCCACAGTCACAGCAGGAGGACACTTTAATTTGCCACTTTCCGCACCTGAGCCTGTCTGGGGCTCACAGACTTTGTGAGGAGCCAGCTCCAGCCCAGCAAGAGGTGGAGAAGGAGACGAAGGAGGAGAAGGCCACCCCCAAAAAATGGGATGCGGGGCTGATCGACTTCGCCAAAGCTGACAAGAGACTTTTTGTCTTGCCTTGTATAGTCCCATCTGGATATGGTGGCCAGTCACAGGAGGCATCAGCGGCACCTGCTACCAATGGCGAGAGCCGTCGTTCCAGCCGCGAAGATGCCAAGTGGAAGGATTGGAAGGATAGCTCCTGGCATGACTGGCAGGTCGGGCAGCGTTCTGCTTGGCCACGTGCTATCTGAGTTGACATGTGCCTAGCCTGCTTGATGCGCTTCAGCCTCACTTGCAGGAAAGCTCAAGCAAGAAAGACCATGATTGGAAAGAGCATGATTGGAAGGATCATGCTTGGAAAGACAACGATTGGAAAGATGATTGGCGGCGAGGTGGAGATGATGCATACTGGAAGGACTTGAGATTGCCACATGAGTAGTATTTTATTTCGGGATACTATGGTACCCAGTATAGAGTAAGATTATATCCTCCTTTTGGGTATAGTATTTTACATAAGGAATATTATCTTACTAGGTTCAACCGCCAAAAAAACACTACTCACATACGGCGTCTGGTAGCTGGAGAAATCGTGTATTTCTTCTTTCTCCACAGGAGGCATCTGACACTGGCAGCCGCCGAGGGAGCAAAGGCAAAAGCAAGGGTAAGGAGCAAAGGGGATGGGAGGACGGGCAGAACCTATCGGGCTGGAGTTTAGTGCTGTTCTGTATGCAGATCATATATGAATTAATACGAGTAAATATGTGATGTTTTGCTCGCTTGAGAGTTTCTGCAGGAAGACAGAAGCGGAAAAGACGCAGAGTGGGTGGTGCTCTCAGCAACTTGTGTTGTTTTCAGGAAGATGCTTGTGTCGTGCCCAGGCCCAGGCTGGCACCTCCAGCAGAAACAAGGCACCGCCAGAGGAGCCCCGACAAAGCCCGGGCACCTGGAGCAACCATCAGAACGTTTTTTTGAGATCGTGGATCTGACCAGGTGCAGGTGCTGACCCCTCCACAAAGGAGAAGAAAATTCCGCCGATTCCATACGCGCAAGCCTTAGCCATTGAAACTATCTTGCTTCGCCTAGACATGCCTGGACTTGGCAGGAGCGCCCTGAAGGCAACGAGCAAAATTCCCAGCCGAACTTGACGCAAGCAGTGCTGTTTCTGAGCTTCCTGACAACAGTGTTCTCTTGCTGCCCTCAGGCCATACACCACAGTTATGCTCCGAAATATACCAAACAAGCAGGGCCCCTGGCCTTCCTGGCTTGACTGCAAGTAACCATAGTCACAACATCTCAGGTACACCAGGGAAATGCTCATCAAGCAGCTCAGCCTCGAATTCACCGGTGAGTGACTGCCCTGGCTTTTCAGACATCTATTTGCTGGACTGCACATGTCTCTTCGCAGGTTTGACTTCATGTACCTTCCCATTGATTTCAAAAACAAGTGCAACGTGGGGCCTTCCCCTCATCTTTTTTGATCCAGCACGAAATTTGATTTTCAACGACCTTGCCTTGCTGAGATTCCCAGGTATGGCTTCATTAACTTCCGCACCCAGGATTCCTGTGAGAGGTGGGCCGTGTGCGCTTGAGAGGCTCAGACCTTCTTGTGCTTGGTTAACTGCACATCCCAGGTTCATTGGGCTGTTTCACGGTGTGGACGTCCGGAAGTGCCTACCTGGCCTCAACTCCAAGAAGGTAGTGGAGGCCGGGGTGTCTGGCTCGATCTGATTACTTCAAGGCAGTTGGGGGATGGGCGGTGCAGCAAGGTGACCCCGGCGCGCGTGCAGGGCCTCACTGAAAACGCTGCGACCCAAATTGGCCGCCGTGCATCCTCACCGAGCTTGAGAACCGTTTTGCATTTCAGTGGGAGCTCTCGCACCTGAAGTCCAGACTGCTTTAAGGTCCGCCGATTGCGCAATAGCCCTGTCATGAACCAGCTCCAAGACCACCCAGAATGCAGTCCGCCTTAGTTTGCCAAGTGTAGCTGCCGGTATCCAACCGCTTTGCTTGGTGCAAGTAGGTCATTAAAAACTGCTCCATGAATGCCAGGGATGCCGCTGCTGTTCGACGAAAATGGCATTGACCAGCCATTCCCCCTGCCTGCCGCCTGCCCAGAGAGGCCAGCAGCGGCCTGCAAGCATGTTGAGCTCGCTGGGCTAAGGACCAGCCGCTGCCACCCGTAAAGCCTCGCGGCCGAAATCGTGAGGCAGCCGCTCCCAGCTAACAGTAGCCTGAGCGCTTGAAACTGCAAGCGAACGGACCATGCCAAAAAGTCATTCTGCTGCTACGGAACGTGGAAATCCTACCTTCGGCAGGGCCACCGTGGCAGCAAAGAGGGGGCAGATGTGATGTGCTTGGTCCCCAGTGAGCTGTGCCTGCGAAGCATGGAAAGACTGAGCTGTCTGAGAGACTTTGACTTTGGTGCAAGGAGCCGGCTGCTTGCAGGTAGGGCACTGAGAACCCGTGATCACCGAAACGACACGGCTACGGGCTAAAGTGACTTTGCCAGCAGATTCTTCCATTTTGCCAATCTCCTTCCGCAGCTGCTCTTTTTATTGTAGCAAGATGGCGATGGACGCGTGCCAAGCAACATAATTAAGCAAGACCTTACAATCTGGGCATGGCCCGCACGAGCTTATCAATCACCCATTTCTTTACACCCCTAATATGAATGGTGAAGACAGTCTCGTGCGCCTGACCAAAGAGGAGAGTTGCGGACTTTTCGAACTGGCTAACAAGGTCGTGCTTGAAGCCTCGGGCCACGTGGATAGGTTCTGCAGCGGGCGAACTGGCTGGACAGAGTGTGGTTGTGAAGGTGATGTCCAGCTGTTCTCCATGAATGTTGGTGAGAGCTTGCCCATGTTTCTTGGCCAGCTCCGGACACCAGGCAACGTGGCTGACTTGACAGCAGTGCTGCTGTCAGATGCATGCCGACAATTCTGGGATCCAAGCTATTTGACCAGTCACTTGCTGTGCAGTTGTGAGGGAACCTCGGCTGTGCTTTGCTTGGAGCAGAAGGCATCTCCGGTCAGTGCGGAGGCACTCTGGACAAACGTGTGCACCGCGAGGTATACTCGCCGAGAGCAAGATGAGCGCATGACGTACATCGCAACCTCAGTTCCTAGCACGTTCAGAAGCCAGTACCACAGGGCTCTATCCACCTGGGGTGAGAAGAAAGAGCTCATCACAAAGATGTGGGCCATGGACGTGCTGCGACCGGTGGACGCTGCAGAACAGGTGACATTATCATTCCTGCTGCAAACAGAGGCCTCCTGCTTTCGGCTACCTAACTTCATGCTTAAACAAGTACTAGCTTCTTATTTGGCAGTTTGCATTAAATCCGTTGCGAGAATGGCTGGTTCTGGCATGACACCAAAGAGAAGCGTCTGTCTAACCCCGGTTTCAGATGATGACACCGAAGCAGTTCTACTCGGCTCCAGGCAGCTCAAGATGTCGGGTCCTGTCATCATTCAGCTGCCCGAAAATGGCCGGCACTGACATGTTTCCTCAGCTGTGTGCTCTACCAAAAAATGATCAAGCGTAGTGCTTGCTGAGCATCATTTCTTTGGAGACATCACGCGCAGAAACTGGCAGAGACACTGTTCCTCCTCAGCCTGTAAAGGTAAGCGCTTTTCAACAGCTTGCCCGATTAGGCGGGGCCATGCGCAAGGAGGACATCGCTGCACCTTCATGAATCCTTCGAATCTTGCAGGATAGCCCTCAAGTGTAGGGACCTGAACTTTCTAACGTGCCTAAGCTGCAAGTAGTTGTGCCGGCTCACAGCCTGCCGCCAATCGTTGCGATGCATCCGCTGAGGTTTTGGCATGATGAGCTGGTTTGTTACTTTTCCATGTCGACCTGCTCTTCACCAGCCCCAATCGTTGCAAGCGTTGGGGAGCAGCCGGCCCATTGTGGCTGACGGGGATTGCGGCAGTGTCCAATGGGAAATACCCTCAACACCCCACCCCTAGGCAGCTTAGTCACTCCAGCCCAACACCTTGAACCTTACAAAACCCAAGTTCTGGCTTGGGCACTACCGTCCCAACCAAGCGCCAGTCGCCGAAAAAAGCCTCTGCTTGGCTCAAGACCAAGGTGGCAGGGCATCAGCGGCCATAAGAGCGCGTTCCTGGATTTGGATGTCTCTGGTGTAAAACACACAGCCAGATGGAAGAGATGTGGCACAGTAGACGAACGGCACGTTCTCTGTCTCACGCGCATGCTGTGAGTGAGCAGATGGTCTACATTCGACGGATCATATACAATGTGCATCATGAGCAACCCTGCAAGTGCTCTCACAGCTCGTTTCGAGGCAGGTGTTGATGCATTTGCACCATAATAGCTAGCTTTTCAAGAGAAAAAGGTCTGGTGAGGGCCATGTCTGAACTTCCCTTGGAGTGTTCCTTTGCCAGATCGTTCTTGCATGGGGTTGGCCGGTTGAGAGAGGGCAGGAAGCCCCGCCCGCCCCGCCGGTACTACAAACCCGAGGAGGCGGCACGGCCTCTAGAAATGCGTCGAGCCTCAACCTGAGACCCCCCCCTCTACCCCCTATGCCTTCCGCCCCAATCCACCCCTCAACCCCCAAACCCAAACTCCCTGAAGCCTAAACTTTACGGCCCAAACTCTGACAGAACGCGTATGCAATTTTGGTGTTCAGTTTTTAAATAGTATTGGGGGTTGGATAGGATTATGTTGGGATTTTGTGGGGATTTGCTGGAATCTGACTCTCTTTGATTAGGTTGGGATGTTCTGGGGATATTTGGTGTATCTTGACAATAGATTTTTTGCTTTACTTCGTTTATTAGAGGGCACTTACGATTAGGTGGAGGGAGCACCAGAAAAAAGAAGGATGAGGCCTGGTCTCCTTTTTTTTGCCCCCACCTCGCCCAGGAGGAAGGCGCCTCTGGATACCCTTCACTGTCGCCAGCCCCGGTCCCAAATCTGACCCGAACCCGCCTCCATAGGTCACAATGTCCCACAACGCTAGTTCCCAGACCCACAACTCTACACAAAACTGTGCCGGTCAAATTGCGGCCCCAGCGGTTGGTATTGAATCATGCTTTAAGTCACCTACCATCGGCGATAAGCATTCCTACTCGAGCCTATCTAGCCGCTTCCGGTAGAGTGATGACAAACGAAAATGTAGCGGACGTGACAAAACAGATGATGCACGAAAAAAGATGATACTGGCTAGTCTCTGGAGGGATGCAAGATGATTGAGGTAGGAACGTGGCAGAGAGTTGTGATTGAAATTATAAAGCGAGAAGGCTGGACGCTCGGCTGTACGCCGTGGATGGCCCAACAATCTTGCGAACACGGATCCAACACTGCACGAACACGTTGCTGCCTCATCGGCGGCAATGCTCATGAACCAGCCGGTCATTTGCCGCTTCACACTCTGGTCTTGCCGAGGATGGCCAACATGCGCTGACAGGTTTTTGGTGCGTCCATGAAACATGGTGACCTGCTCTTATCATACGTCTTGAAGAAGCCATTCTCCAATGGAGTCCAATGGTAGTTGTAGGCCTTCAAGCTTTTCGCCGCCGTGGAAGGCGTGCCACTTTTGGGATTTGGGTTGGCAGGGGGGTGGGGGCAGGGGGGTAATTACGTGCGCAACACGCGAATACCATGTATTTTACATTCTTTTCTTGTTGTTCAGATTTCAGCGAAGAAGCCGCGCTTACGGCGCCCACTTGAAACTATGCTTGTTTTACAATGTTTTTTGCGTCAAGAAGGCCGAATG